CCCAATGGTTCCTCAAAAGTAGCTGGAGTTCCTTATGACGACCCATGTAAAGTCATCAGGGCTGTTTAGCCAGACAAACCTTGAATCAGTTTTAAATGTAGTAAATGTGGTTTGGCCCACAAAAAATAACATTTAAAATCAACATAGAACCAAATGTAAGAAATAACATTTCTGAAGTTGATTTCTGAGTCTGACTCATGTCATACCAGCTGACATGGAGGGGGGCAGGGTTTATCGCCTGAACTGCAGCTCACTTCTAGGGAGCTGTCATGTCAGCCATGCAGTCGACACAGCAGGACACACAGGGCTTTTGAATGACGTAGAATCAAGCTTGAGTAAGTGTTGTTCATTTTGAACACATCACAGTGATAACGCTGATAAAAGCCCATTTTACCAGGATGCCTTTCAGCTCGTCCATGGCGCTCTCCTGCTGCTGCTTCTCCTCACAGATCACGGGTTGCTGGAAGAAAAAAGGAAAAAAAAAAAGAAAAATAAATGACTCTTATCTTTCTACAAATGTCTGATCTTAGGTTTGATCAGAGCGCAGCCCCACCACGCCGTATCTCCAGAACACAGAAAGAAGCTTTTCTTAGTAGAGGAACAAGAACCCAACCACCTCACAGCATCAGCCCATGAAGCTGGTTGAAATGGAGGTGACATTTGTTTAACTGATTAAAATTAGGGTCTGCAGTGTGTGTGTGTGTGTGCGTGTGTGTGTGTGTGTGTGTGTGTGTTAGGTTAGTGGGGTCAGAGGGAGGGAAAGGTCTTTCTCCCTGGAGAGCAACGACGACTTCACATCACAAGATGCAAAGATGCAAGATGCAAACGTCAATATACTCACTTTTACTGCTACTCTCTGTGGCAGCGCAAAAGGAGGAACATGGAGAGGAGAGAGAAGAGAGCAATCAGGCAGAGTGCATTCAGACTGCATTAAATATGGCGGCCTGGACGTGTTAACACGCATCCTGGTCTGTGCAGGGGGAGGAAAGCCCAAGGGAAAGAAAAATAATGAAGCAGGAGGAGCGTTTCCTGTGTTCTGATTCTGTTTCAAAGGTCACAGAACACCTCGGCCCTTTGACCACCTACTGTTGTTGCATATAACACAAAATAATGAGTGCTTACACCAAAAGAACCCATTAAGGTTTATGAGGCTGGCAAGCAAAAAACTGTTATTTTTTCATGTTTTAGGGCCTTGCATCAGTATCGATATTCGAAACATGTTTGGTTTTCTTTCACTGCACTTTCTTGTTTCTCAGTGGTTTGCATGCACGCTGATGCTCACACAGCGTGTCTGCAGAACACAGGCTGCATGGACGACTGAATGGGCCTAACAGGCACAGGCCAGGGCTCCAGACTCGCTTTAAAGTGATGCTAAACATTTACAAGGATGTGCCAAGAGTCCATAAAACAAAGAAAACAAAGATGCAAAATGATGCAAAAACATGAGACACAAAATGAGCACAGTGGTGTTCAGTAACCACAAAAAGACACAAAACAACTGCTAAAAACAAAACATGACCACAGAGATGTAAAATAACCACTAGGAGGCGCAAAACAGCCACAACCAGACAAAAATGATCACAAAAGGCTCAAAACAATCCCAAAAGGCCACAAAGAAACAACTAATTACAACAAAAAAATGCAAAATACTTAAAATACACACATATAAAACAAAAGCAGTGAGACTCAAAGTGAGTAAAAAGGCCTCTCACACCTCTCAGCCTGCGCTCACCTTGGCTTCCTGACTCTTGACAGGCCGCAGGACGACGCCATGTTTGATCCGCTCCATCATCTCGTTGACCGCCTTCACCTTCACCTCGTCCACGCCCTCAGCAGCTGAGACAGAGAGCCACAGGCAACACAAGTTCAGCTGCAATGGCCAAAAGTATGTGGACACCTGAACGCAACTTGCACTGAAGGCACTTTTTGCCAGACGGTGGAAGTTATTATTATGATACACATTAACAACAACCTGCTGGTCTACATATGATGCCATATAAATAAAGACAGGTGCTTTGAACCCACCTGGAGGCTGCTCCGCTTTCACAGAGGCTTTAGAGCCTTTGGAGGATTTCCTCATGATTGCTATCAGAGAGCTGAGACAGAAAACAGTTACATGTGCAGTGCTTCACAGTTTTATTACCATATTTACCATCCAATGTGAGGTTTATGCAACAGCTGCCCTAAATTGACAGCATTGGTAATTTCCAAAATCATTTCTTATGTTTCTGTAACGGTTAATACACCAGGATGTAGAAGCTCTTTAACCATGAAGCCATCACATTTTAAGTGTAGCGTTTTACAAAAAAAAGAAAAGAAAAGAAAAGAAAAAATAGTAAAACAAGATGTCAAATTCTAGTTATTCAGACTTAGA